AATGAGACCTGGAAATGACAGTTCTTTGTGTCATACATTTCTTAATATGTGGAAATGGACGCTAGACAAAAATAGTCTCCAGAGATTTAAACTCAATTGAATAAGTAATTTCAAGGAAATATGCTCTAGCCTGTGAGTTTATTAACATTACAGTTATGTGAAGGCTAGTTAGTTCTCTTTCCAGATGTTCACACAAGTGTTTTCTTTTCTTTTCTTTTCTTTTTCTTTGATTTGGAGTTATATTGATTCACACACATCAAATTCTTATTGAGTTTCAAGGTTGTATGAACCCAAATACTCCAAGGGGAAGTAGTGAGAAGAAGGAATTCCTTCTCAGATTGAGCTTCCTGAGTTAATGAAGAACCATATGATAGAAAAGTGAATTTCTCAGGATAGAAAATTGAGTCTTCATATAGCCCTTGTAGTATCTGCCTCCTTGGTTTCTCCAAAGAATTTGAGTACTTTGACTTTGTATTTTGTTTCTGTGAATATAAAAAATATATACCATACTTAGTGCTTCTGTTAGTCACCTAGTGGCTCAGAAAGAAGAAAAATCTGTCTTGATTAACTACTTGGTTCCTATTTTTGTTTATGGTTGTTTATTTTTCTGTCTTCCTCTGATACCTTGAAAATTAACATCTGTAGGAAGTTATCAACATGGAGAATAGTGCATTCTGCTCTGTAGATCTGGCTTGCTTTGGGTTAAGCTGGCCGCCTTATTTATGGTTAGGAGAGAGTTCTTTCCTATGTCAGAAAGACAGTTGTTTTGATTTTGGCTTGTTTGATCGTCTTTCTCTCATAGCCCAGCAATGTATTCACTTCCATTTCCAAACTGGAAACATCATGATGTCAGGCAAGGAGGCTGAACTCAGTAGCCCAGTGAGGTAAGGCTGCTGCACCTCCATGTCCCCAGGTCCAACCAGTAGCAAGGCTGAAAAAGTATTCATACATATGCCCAATGGTATCCACACAAACACATATACACAACATAAAAGTACATATATACATGGCTGGCCACACAGATCAACATGGACAGACACTCTCAGTGTCAGACAAACAGCGTCAAAGGCCTCATCCTGTTCCCCTCTCTGGCTGATCAGGAGGAAGGTCTCTTAGTAGTACACACACATACACACACAGACATACATGTATGTATGTACGTATGCATATACACACATACTTATACATATAAATGTACAATGTGGATCCTTCCAGCAGCTAGTCTGAGATACTCGGTCCTCCCAGTAGCTGCTCCTGGATCCCCAGTCTGCCCAGTTGCTGGCACCTGGACACACAAGCCCTCGAGGCCCACAGCCCTTCCCCAGGTGCTGGCACAAACCCCCACACACATACATACACTGTGCATTCATGGCCTTGGACATACCCTCAAGGCAGTAGCTGATCCTGGACCTTCGCTCTCCCAGGTGCCTCACCCCTAGATACACAGACACACACCAGACACACATACACAAATGGACACCAGTTGACCCCCCAGACCCTATGGTCTCCCTGGCAGTCGGCTGGGACTCTCCTGCCCTCCCGCAGTAGCCAGTTGCCCCAGCAGTCTCTTCTTGGAGACACACGTACAACTCCCTGGCTCCCAGGTCACTGCGCCTACTTGCCGGCCGGTCCAGCTTGATGTTCGCTGGCAGCTGCACAATCACTCGCAGACCCTCACTTGCTCCTGTCCCTGGCACCACAGGCAGTGGGGCCCTCTGAACCCTGGTGCCTTTTCAGTTCCTGGCACTTCCCTTCAGTCTCTCCTGTTGCTGGCACCTAGACACATGGGCTTGTGACCTGTAGTCTGACTCCAGCTGCTGGCACTCAGACCTTCACTCGCTCCCGTCACTGGCACCATAGGCGTGGGGCCCTCTGACTGATGGGCAGACTACAGTGGCTGGCACTTAATTTCACTCACTCTGGTCCTTCCAGTTGCTGCCACCAAGGACACACGGGCTCCTACAACCTGTGGTCTGACTCCAGTTGCTGGCACTCAGACCTCCACACACACCAGTGTGCTCAGAATAGAGTCCTTTACCCAGGAAAATAGCTACAAATAAAGCTTAATGAGAAGATAGGACAGACTGTGCTGATCAGCTGCAGGGCATGGCCAGAAAGCATACGGACCAGCAGCCTTTATATGTGTGACTGGCCCTTTTAGTATCATTATCCTCCTATTTTCATGCATTTGTTCCTCCTCAAATTACCTAGATCCCTCCCTTAAATATCTCATATTAAGTCCTGCACAATCCTGAAATGCTCTTCCCCTGCATCCCACAACGTGTCCATACCCGCAGGCGGTGATCTCCCTCAGTTTGGCTGGTGCTCTGTAGATCGGCTCCCATTGACTCAGTGTTATGGGTGGCATGCCCAGGCCATGGGACTGATGGTCTCCTAGGATAGCCCTGGGAGGAGCTGGACAAGGTGTCCCTTCCCTGAGTAGGTAATTTGGGTTCCCCTGTCTGCCACTGTTCCTCTGCGATGCCTTTGTTCCTTTTTCTTTAGAGTGTGCACTGCATAGCAATGTCTAGAAGTGAATCCCTCTTCAGGTGTTTCTTACTGAAAGTCAATGGAATCTGGGTTTGTTTTGTAACGGGAATTACATTTTTGAGCCTTCCCAATACCCACAACAATTTTTATCTGTCATAACCTGTTTTTCCTAATATTGTATGTTGCAACCCCATCTTTTCATTTGTAGTTGTACCTCCTTCCCTTTATGCATTAAGTGAAATGATTCCCCTTTATTTTGGCATTTGAAAGATAGTATTGTACGTAAATTTATGAATATGCATCAGCTAATATGGCTTTTAAAAGAAAAAAAATTGAACCAAAGACTAGAGAAGCATTTTTGGCTTGCAGTATGGATTATTCCTGTTATGAAAGGGAATATCTGCAACTGCTGAGGAAGAGCTCGGGAAGACCCCCAAATGGGAGAGGAAATAATAGCAGTTGGAGAGTACTAGCTGCCTTTGATTTGCAAATTCTCAATGCCACAAAGAGCACAGCAGACTTCGATCATTGCTAGCTGATTCAAAATTTCTCTGTTAAAAGCCCAAATCCTACTGGACAGATTCCAGGACTCAGAAAAAATTACAGCCAGATAAATACAGAAACTAATCAAAACCATATTTAAGAAAATGGTTACTAACAGGTAAGTCATCTACCTAAGACAGTTGTATAAAGGATTTTACATGAGCATGTACTTCTGGCAGACCTGCTAAAGAGATCCTAATGCATGTTGGACAAGGTACTTCACACGTTATCCTTCCTGATTCTTTGACTCCTAAGATTTTGGCTAATATACTCTATACTCACATTTCTGACAATATTTAGTTCATGTGCACCACAATTAAATTTGGGTCTCTCACAGGTCATTGATTTGTCAAGAACAATATGTATATATTACTAGTTCTCCTGCATCTGTTGCTTAGCATTATATAAGCATTCATCTACTTAGCTCACCAGTAGGGTTTCTACTATATGCAACAGTTGAACAACCAAGTCAATTACTTTGTTTACTCTGTTCCATTTACTGCTTTGCTTTGCTGTGAATAACCAAATATCTGTTTTGTTCATTGTTTTGGTTTAACAAACTGAAATCTTCATGATTCAGGCTTTTTATAGGAGTTATGCAACATTTTATTTAAAGGATTCTTGGATACATCACAGCAATCACCCTCATAATCTTTTCCTTTTTCCAAGGTAATGCGTCATGTGGAGCATTTTCTGTTTTGCTGTAAAACACATTGGATTTGAGTTTATGTCAGGCCAAAATGGATTATATCAGTTTTCCCACTTGACAAATAGATCCTCTTGGTGTTTGTCTGTACTTTCTTTAAAATCTCTATGACAGAGAACTAGCTCTTTATTTATTTATTTTTAACTTCTCTTACTTTCATCAAGCTTTTACATCATTTTTACCATGAATTTTCTCTGTCCTTCAGCTATTTCCATTTATTTATATAGAGTATTTATTTTACTTTTTTTTTTTGCATCAGTCTTGGAAGAAATTGTACAACTATGTTCTCACTGCCACAGATTCCATCAGGATGATATAACATTTTAGTAAAGATGTCAAATTACATGCAAAAAATCCTGTAAATTTGTTGTCATAAATATAGTACTTCATTTTAGTCTAATGTACCACACAAAGTTCGCAGGGGCTTTCTGATAGAGTCTTATTCCTTTATTTTGAGAATAATGCTATTAAACTCGGTTTAATCTTTATATGAGCTCTTAGATCTTTATTCTAAGTGATTTAAGCAGTCCACACCTGTTGAATAATAATTGTGCAAATTCAGAGACTAATTCCATTGTCAAGTCTTTCTATAGCTTTTTACTGATTTTGACTGATAATGTTTATGTATGTATGTGATTAGTGTGTTATGAGTTTTGTATCTGAAAGCAGAGCGAAAGGGCAGTTTGGACCCCCCTGGAAAGAGGGAGAAGAATGTTCAAGGAGAAAAGGCCCCAGAGACTGCAGAGGAGCAAAGACTAAGCAGCCGCAGCACAGAAGTGATGGCAAGATACACATCCTAAGCTCCACAAGAGACTGTGCAAAGTCTGCCACAATTCAGAAGGCCATTGAAAGGAATGGAAGCAATGATTCACCTACAAGGATACACTAGACAGGAGAACACTTATTAATAAATACTTTTTATTTCCAAGCATCTGATCTTCTGAATTTTCTTTATTTTTAAAAAGTAAAACCTTTCTTCTCTGTATTCTAAAAATTCTTACCTTTTGATTTGAAGTCTTTAAAAGTTCTGATTTTTTTGGGTGAGTTTGTTACAAAGAGAAGGTGAAGGCAGATCCACCATATTACACTGACTCTGATCGCATCACACAACTGTTCTACTCTTTTTAAATCAAAACACTATGACCTAAATATCATTTTTAATTGCACTTTCTTTATTTTATTCTAAAAGGGTTTGTCAAAAGGAAATTAAATGTGATTGAAACAGCAACAGCATTTGCAGATCTGATGTATGCCACTACTGAGAAAATAAGTATAGCAGTAGTCGAAGATTAATCTCCTACAGCTCAAGGATAATTGTACTGTTGATGGTGAATGAGGTTTCATGTTTTTGATTCATATCTGTCACAGGTTTCAGTTGCTGATTCAGATTTCACATTTATATCCATGATAGACATGAACAACAGTGTTGCGGTCATCATAGCTGCTTCTTGACAACCCATCGCTCTGAAAAACAAGAAAAGGAAAGAAAAGGAAAGAAAATCTTTTCTTTTCAGAGTTAAAAGGAGCTTTATTCTTGTTTCCCTTGAAAAGAAACAAGTTAAACTCTGAGATACTTTTCAGATAAACTGCTCTTCTTATGGAGATACCTGATGATAGCTGACGACATTCAACTTGATCATGTTATCAGTCACAAAACATAGGATATCGGATCTTGGGGAAGGGGGGGGGTGGACAGAATATGACTTTGCATAAAATGTCATGGAACAGAACTTGGAGTATGATGATGTATTCTCTTTTGGCTGAGAAGCCCTTTCAGTAGCTCATGACAATATTTTCCCTGCAGATATTTTGCTAGAATTCTGAGGAGTTGACTAGCTGGTTGAGATTATGTGCCTGTCATAGTATTTCTTTTGAATTTTAACAAGGTTAATGGCTAATTGTACTCCATTCCCTTTAGTCTGGATTTGAGAAATGACTAGACTTCAGAGAAACCTATGAGCTTTAAAGTTTCTGTTTTCTCCAAATTTTTGCGGTTAATATATTCAGTATCACAATCTGCTTTTTCCTTATGCCTTGAACCTTGCTATGAAGTTATTTCCTTCTTCAGCATTTATATGCAGGTACAATACTGTATATGCAATGGCTTTAGCATTTGAACTGTTTATAATATTCGCATCCCATGTGGGTAATCAACATATCAGCATTGCTTGTACTCACCAAAAGAAAGAGTAGGTTTGACTAGTTTTCTAGGTTCATTAGAACATAGCTCGCTCGTGTCCATTCAATGCAGTGGAATTTCAAGTGTTAGGAAATTTCTGTTGAATTAAGGGGATAATCTGATACATACCTTCCTTTGCATATGGTACAAAGACCTACTGTTAAATCTTACCTAAATGGTGTCCGCTTCTCTCTTGCTCGCTTTGAATTCAGTCTTTCACAAAATAAGATTTGTTAGACCACAAACCCCTTCAAGAACATTTATGTGATGTGAAAATCGAAAACAATTCAGGAGGGACTTTAACTGTAGCGATCACCAACCAATATGCTTGACTCCTGCTCTTCCGATTTAGTGCAATCATAATCCTTGTGAAGAATTCAAAGTCCTTGTGAGGAGTTCAAGTATTGATACAACAGTGTATTAGTTCCAAACTTTTCCTTCATACCACTTAGAGGACAGTGTAAGCTTTCCTAGATGGTTGTGGTATCAAAATAATTAACACAGATTTATCAATTATTTATGTTTGAAGAGTGACCACTTCCCTAGGGTCAATGACCAAGAGTTGCAGCTCCTTCTCTGATTATTTCCACTGTACCATGTAGACATTTTTCTTGACTTTCTAATAAATTTTTATATTATGACCTTATTTTGTTACTAGGAATATTGTATTTACTGACTGGATATACTGTTCAAATTGAAAATAAACATACAGTCTCACTAACTGAAGTAAATACATTTCTATTCAATTTCTTTTCCCATTTTGCTTTATAATCAATATGCAATGAAGTGGTCCGCATTACTAGTGTCTCCCATGAACTCTTAGTCTAGCATACATGAATAGTTTCACCTACAAATCAGATATGATCTCTCTCTTAAATTCCTTCTGAGGTCCTGGGATCTGTTCCAAGTTCTTCTGGCCTCACAAAAATTGTTTAACAATATCAATTACCAAAGCTGGTCAATTCATTAAGGTTCTCCTTGTAGCACTAGATAAGAATACCATGCTTTTCAACATGAAGGAGAAAACCTGACCATAGCACTCTGATAATTTGTGGGTTTCTTTAGACTAAAAATTCTGAAACTCCTACTCCGTTGGATGTTACAGATAAATTACTGCTTGCATTTAACATTATAAATTGCCAAGCTGTGCCATAGCATCTATAACTTGGTCAAAGAGCAAATGACTCTCCCTGTTCTTCTCTGTTCAGGTACCTAGCAATAAATTTCACTGTTAAAATGCGCCCCAATGTAATCCACTTTTTCTGTTCCTTCCTACAATTTCATTCACTTTCTGGATGTATGTTCAATTCAGTATAAAGTATTACTTTTTTTTTTTCCCAAAAGACAGTTCCATCCTCTTTCTTAACTCATTGAACTGTAGCTGCACCTAGTTTCTTTCCTCTGTGTTCATTTCCAGTTCTAGATGCCTTCAGGGGATTGGCTAGCAACCTTAAAACTTCTTCTCTGGTTTTAGCATCAACTGGTTCTAATACTCTTTTAAAAAATCTATAGGATAGTTTAATTAATAGCAGCTACTTAAAAACTGGATCACTGTATAATAGTTGTCTTGAAAATTAAATATTAATCTCCTCACAGAAACTTTTCATAAGTAGGAAGGCTTTCATTCTAATTTTACTTCACATTTAATACACTAGAATATAGTCTTCTTCTCCAGACAGTGATGTGGTTAAATTAGTTTTGGTAACATACAAAAAATACCCATCCTCTTTCATCATCCTCATCTTTGTCCTTGCTGTTCTTGGAAGAAAAGGTGAATATTTCAACTTGGGGATCACCCTCATGGAAGATAACTTGCAATTCATCTCATAGAATGATCATTTTCTTTCTTCAACATTCATGGGAAATATCTATTTTAACTGATTAGTTAAACCTATTTAACTTATATCATTGTCATTGCAGTTTCTCTGTATGTTCTAATTCTTTTTATACCTACCAAGTTCCTCTTGAAGTTGTTAGATTTCCTTCATTAGTTGTTTTCCGTATAGCTGTAAATGAAGACAGAATAAGAACTTACAGTACATTGAAGCTATTTTCATTTTACAAGACTGTCCTGCAATATTGCAGTCATGATGTGGTTCTGCTGTGTCCAGTAGGGATTATGGAAGTAGGCTTTTAACAGGCTTGGGAGGCCTGTCAGTGCCCTCATACTAAAACTTCATTAAAGTCTCAATATCATACCAAAGATTATTTTTTACTTTTCACCTGCAATTATTCCAGTGGGCCATTTTTATAATTTAGGATGACTGCAGTTCTGCTGTTAAAGACTGCCTTGTTGAGAACTTTTCAATAGGTTCACTATGATTTTCCTGTCCAACGAATAAAATAATATATCAGTCAAGCACACTCCACCGAAATCTTAAGTTTCATTATTATCAGAAATTTATTTTTATATTTTTACAGATGCTTGAAAAAGAAAATCAAATAATATCTCATTTTTATTGTGAATTGAAACTTTTCATGATATTTAAATACAAGCACTTTAGATGTCTCTAAATATCTTTAGGTTAGTTCAAGTCTTTCCCATGGCTCCTTTTACTGAGTTTCTAATGTTGGCTGCATTCTTCAAATTTAGCAAAACTAATAAAATATACTCAAAGTTGCATTTACTGTAAGGAAATATTCCCGCTCAAATCTATTCCTTTATAAAATATTAGTAAATTTTACTAATAGTGAGGGAAGCTATAAAATGTCAACATCAAAAGTAAAGTTGACAACAGCCCTGACTTCTGAACGCTGTTGTTAAATCTATAGTTTTATTAGGGAGCATAGAGTTGCTTATTTTTCGTTCAAAAGCTGAACTCATATTTATGATGCACAAAAGCAAAAGAAAATAAAATAAAAGTAGAAAGTAAGCAGTATCAAATGTCTACTTTATATCTTAAAATTTCAATAGCAAAATTTAAAGCTTTTATTATATTCATTGCAAGCACAGTAACATTTGTCCTTTCTTTTTTTCCTCTCACTTGTGATTCCCTGTTTCTCAGTAAATGAACAGATAGACACCATTCTTGTCAGGGTTTTTCATTATTATTTGGATCCTAAAGTGAACTGTTTTCGTCTCTAAAAATGGTGATAAACCTATTGTTATTACTCCATCCTTAGGAGGAACCATAATCTGCTTAGTATGTTATAGAGGTAAGTTCCCCTTGACAATATGACTTCCATCAATCAGTCACAGACAATTAAAGCACCTGCTTCATCCTAATACAGTGATTTCTAATGAAGGTTATTAGGAAGTTCTAATTATTTTTTGACAGAAAATGAAAAACATTTTTTTATCTCTTTTAACCTTAGAGTTATATCTTAGCAATTCATTATGAAAGAGAAAAGAAGAATATATATATATTTTTTAATCTTTAAACCCCCTTTAAATAAATAAACATTAATTCTGGTAGAAGTATTGATTTTTAACTGTGATCTTTTTTTAAATGCAAAAAGAAGACAACTAAAATAAGGCGAGGTGGTGGAGTTGCTCTTTATGTGAGGGAGCAACTAGAATGTATGGAGCTCTGCCTAGGGGTGGATGAAGAGCAAGTGGAGAGCCTATGGGTAAGGATTAAAGGGCAGGGTAACATGGGTGACACTGTTGTGGGGGTTTACTACAGGCCACCTGATCAGGAGGAAGTCATCGATGAGGCCTTCTACCGACAGCTGGAAGAAGCCTCACGATCACAGGCCCTGGTTCTCATGGGAGACTTCAACCACCCTGACATCTGTTGGGAAGACAGCACAGCTAGGCACAAACAGTCAAAGAGGTTCCTGCAAAGCATTGATGATAATTTCTTGACCCAGGTGGTGGAGACGCCAACGAGGAGAGGTGCAATGCTAGACCTTGTACTAACGAACAAAGAAGGTCTAGTTGGAGATGTGAAGGTTGGGGGCAGCCTTGGCTGCAGTGACCATGAGATGGTGGAGTTCAGGATCCTGCGAGGAGGGAGCAGGGCAATGTAGGATTGGAGTAGGATTGCAACGCTGGACTTCAGGAGAGCTGACTTTGGCCTCTTCAGGGACCTACTTAGGGGAATCTCGTGGGGTAGGGCCCTAGAAGGAAGAGGGGTCCAAGAGAGCTGGTTCATATTCAAGCGTCACTTCCTCCAGGCTCAGGATCAGTGCATCCCTCTGAGGAAGAAGTCCAGCAAAGCGGGCAGGAGACCTGCATGGTGCTGAATGCCTTCTTTGTTTCAGTCTTCACTGCTAAAGGCCAGCCATCAGGAGTTCCAGACCCTGGGGACAAAGAGAGAAAGTGTGGAGAAAGGAAGACTCTCCCTTGGTCGAGGAGGATCGTGTTAGAGATCATTTGTCCAAACTGGACATCCATAAATCCATGGGCCCTGATGGGATGCACCCACGAGTGCTGAGGGAGCTGGCGGATGTTATCGCTAGGCCACTCTCCATCATCTTTGAAAGGTCCTGGAGATCAGGAGAGGTGCCTGAGGACTGGAAGAAAGCCAATGTCACGCCAGTCTTCCAAAAGGGCAAGAAGGAGGAACCAGGGAACTACAGGCCTGTCAGCCTCACCTCCATCCCGGGAAAGCTGATGGAACAGCTCCTCCTGGAGGTCATCACTAAGCATCTGGAGGACAAGAAGGTGATCAGGAGTAGTCAGCATGGATTCACCAAAGGGAAATCATGCTGGACCAATCTGATAGCCTTCTCTGATGGGATGACTGGCTGGGGAGATGAGGGCAGAGCAGTGGATGTTGTCTGCCTGGACTTCAGCAAGGCTTTTGACACTGTCTCCCATCACATCCTCCTAGGTAAGCTCAGGAAGTGTGGGCTAGATGAGTGGACGGTGAGGTGGCTTGAGAACTGGCTGGATGGCCGAGCTCAGAGGGTTGTGGTGAATGGCGCAGAGTCAAGTTGGAGGCCTGTGGCTAGTGGTGTCCCCCAGGGGTCAGTCCTGGGCCCAGTCTTGTTCAATATATTCATCAATGACCTGGAGGAAGGGACAGAGTGCACCCTCAGCAAGTTTGCTGATGATACGAAACTGGGAGGAGAGGTTAACACACCAGAAGACTGTGCTGCCCTTCAGAGGGACCTGGACAGGCTGGAGAGGTGGGCAGAGAGGGACCTCCTGAAGTTCCACAAAGGCAAGTGCAAGGTCCTGCACCTAGGCAGGAATAATCCCATGCACCAGTACAGGCTGGGGACTGACCTGTTGGAAAGTAGCTCTGCCGAGAAGGACCTGGGAGTGCTGGTGGACAACAAGTTGACCATGAGCCAGCAGTGTGCCCTTGTGGCCAAGAAGGCCAATGGGATGCTGGGGTGCATTAGGCAGAGTGTTGCCAGCAGGTCGAGGGAGGTGATCCTGCCCCTCTGGTTAGCCCTGGGGAGGCCTCCCCTGGAGTCCTGTGTCCAGTTCTGGGCTCCCCAGGACAAGAGAGACATGGCACTCCTGGAGAGAGTCCAGCGGAGGGCTACCCAGATGATTAGAGGGCTGGAGCATCTCTCCTATGAAGAAAGACTGCAAGAGCTGGGCCTGCTCAGCCTGGAGAAGAGAAGATTGAGAGGGGATCTCATCAACGTGTACAAGTATCTGAAGGGGGAGTGTCAAGAGGATGAGGCCAATCTCTTCTCCGTGGTGCCCAGCAACAGGACAAGAGGCAATGGGCAGAAACTGACCCACAGGAAGTTCCATCTGAACCTGAGAAAAAACTTCTTCACTGGGAGGGTGACAGAGCATTGGAACAGGTTGCCCAGAGAGGTAGTGGAGTCTCCTTCCCTGGAGATATTCAAAAGCCGTCTGGATGTGATCCTGGGCAATATGCTCTAGGTGACCCTGCTTGAGCAGGGAGGGTGGACTAGATGATCTCCAGAGGTCCCTTCCAACCTAAACGATTCTGTGATTCTGTGATTCTGTGAAAATACAGTATTGCAATATCATACAGCTGGGGATTTTAATTGGAAAATAGAAAAAGAATTTAAAAATTGCTTTTCAATCAGATGAAAAGTCAATATTTTGCGAAAGACTTTGAAAATATTTTACTTCAGTGATTTTTATTGATATATATACAAGTATGAACTGCATACATTCAGTTATTTGAAGTGTACTGTAGAAACATCTTGGCCCCACTTATCCTCTTATATAGTTATACTTAACATTTATTTAGTACCTTTACTTTTCAAGATGCTCTACATATGTTTATAAACCAAGTCCGGGTTTTTACTGCCCTGCTTTTAGTTCATCTCTGTGGTCTGGTGCGCAGTTATACTAGTTTCAATGGACTTCCTCGATCCACTTATGTTAATGTCACTTAAATTCCGGGGACTAGTTCACTAATATCCGTGGAGAAGTGTGAAAGCAACATATGGGTTAAATACCACAGACCTCCTGATCAGTTTATCTGACAGTAGAAAGGAGTAGTAAAGCCCACCAAAGTCCATAAACAAATCAGCGATAGTAAAGATTACTTGGCAAAGTTTAATTCACTTAACAGGGACACTTCATTTTCTGACTTCAGTAAATCAGTTCTAAGATCTCTTCACATGTCATTTTAGCTGCTACCATAGGATCCTAAAGATTATCACCAGTTCGCTACACCTGCTATTTGCTTGATCCTTCCCCCAAATACTGTGCAAGCTGTAGCTAAACCGATCATGCACCTGCTCCACAACTGTTACTGTGAGAAGGAGCAGAACGGGCTAGCCCTCACAGTGTGCTTTTGTTGCCTCGTTGTGGCTGAAGCGAGTTTGAGAGGCCTCAAAACAGCAGAGGCGGTAATACCTGGCAGATGGAAGAGGGCAGGGAGGGAGTGAAAAAGGTAGAGTCAAGCTCTCTGCAGCCAGCTGAAAGACAAAGCCAACTAGAATAGTTGTTGAAATTGTAAATATGAATCTCAGGTGTGTTCGTAGCCTGAGGCCCCCCCAAAAGGATAATCTCTATGCTAAAATTGGAATCACTTTAAGGCAGGGGGAAAAAAGGGTTTTTTTTTTTCCTCATTCAGGCTTTTTAACTTTTTATTCTCTTAATTCCTGACTTGGACTC